GTCTTCTGACTTTGTCACCATGAAACGCACCTGCTGTGATGTCCAGTTGAGCTACTGACGGTCCTCTGGCTGCTTCTGGAAACTGATGCTGGCATAGGTGCTTAAATCCTCACTGGAGCGGGGGGTGGAGCTGTTCTCACCGCTGCCCAGGGGTTGATGAGAGGGTGGGGATGGGGGTGGGGGAGGCTGTGGTTGAGGGGTTCGCTCCTGAGGGCATTGTTTGATGTCCTTGACCAAATCCAGGTCTATGTAATTAAGACCATTCTCCAAATCCCCGGCAGCCCCGCACAGTTGGGCTGGCTCCTTGGGGGCTCCCCCAAGCTCCCCAGGCCTCAGCCACACGTTCTCAAAGGAAGCAGAGCTGTGGCGTTTTACATCCTTGCTGCTGCTGCTACCGCCACTGCCCCCTCCTGCTGCCCCTGCTCCAAAGGGCACCGTGTTGCCCACCCGGGTGGCACTGGGTGTTGAGGAGAAGGTCTCGGAGCTATGCCTCCTCCGGCACCCTTGTGCGTCTGCACGGATCACTTTGGCACTCTGGTTGCGGTTAGGACTGAGGTTCACCGGGGTAAAGGCACTCATGCCCCCAGGTCCTTGCGGTTCCCCCAGCAGGGATGATCGGGCAGCCAGCTCTGCTGCCCCTTGAGGCCCAGCAGGGGAGGCAGAGGCTGCTGAGGCTGAGGAGGCAGCAGCCATGGTGGCCCTGGGCAGGCTAACCTCCTCTGCAGCAATGCCTGTCCGCATGTCAGCATAGCTCACAGGGGCAACTGGTGAGGTGTCCACATAGCTCTGACGGGGACAACCCATCTGCATGGTCATGTAGTCACCCCGGCTGCTGGGCACTGCTCGGGTAGGCCTGCAAATGCTAGCAGCCCCAGAAGGTGCAGGGCCCACTCTGCCCACCTCAACCCCAGTGCTCTCCTGCCAGGCTGCCCTCCGGCCTGGCCTCAAGTCCATCTTCATGTACTCCTCAGTGCCAGTCTCTTCCTCTCTGGGAGCTGGCTGGAGTTGGGATGGACACCTGACAGAAGGTGAGCTGTGGGAGGCCACAGGGCCAGACAAGTAGCCAGGCTGATCACTCCCAAATTCAATATTCACATATTCCCCTGGGCTCTTGGGCTCCGGAGGGTGCAGCAGGGGCTGCTGCTGCTGCTGCTGCTGCTGCTGCTCTCCAGCCCGAGGTAAGGTGCTGGCCTTGGGATCCCCCAGGGACAGCCTCGTGGGCCGGGCCAGGCGGCTATTGGTCTGAGCAGCTGAGTCCACCTTTCGAGGCAGATGAGGCTGCAGAACCTGATGGTGGGAATGTGGAAGGCTGGGCTCCATCCTAGCCCCACAATATCCCCCACCCAGGCTATCGCTGCTGGTGGAGGAGGAAGAATCTTCCACTGTTGCAGCATAGAGAAGGCGACCAGAGCTAGCGGAAAGGCGAAGGTGCTGATGTCGGGCACCCTCCTCCAGCTCCCCAGGGAGCTGGGTGTGCTTAAAGGATCTTGGCAATGAGTAGTAGGAGAGGACTGGCTTGTGCTGGGGGTCCTCAGGGCCGTAGTAGCAGTCAGAGGGGCTGCTGGTGTTGGAGTCCCCCACTGGCGACATGTTCATGTAGTCACCTGTGCAAGGCAAGAGCTTGCCACTGCTGCTTTCCACAGGGGGTTTGGGGTGAGGCAAGACATGAGCGTGGTGGCCCCCTACCCCGTTTGTCCACAGCTTTCCATAGCTGCTCCCAGAAGGGACAGCCCTGCTGCTGCTGCTGCCAGGGCCACCTCCAATGTCAGGGGAGTAGCTGCTGCTGGGGGACATCATCATGTAGCCATTGGGGTCCACTCTCTGGGGATGGCGTCTGATGGGGTTGATGATCTGCTGTGGGGCAGACACGCTCTTGGGGCTCATGGGCATATAGTCTCCACTGCCCTTTCGGCTGCTGGGCACTGGGGCCACCCCTGGGGACATGGGCATGTAGCCATCATCACTGTGGAGGGTGGAGCTTTCTGGGCGATGGTGGCCCCCCCGACGCTCCAAGAGGTGCATTTCCAGACCCTCCTCAGGGTAGGAATGGGTGGGCACGAAGGCGGAGTGCCTGTGTCCCGGCAGTCGGCCTCCACTGCCACCTCCTGGTGGGTAGACAGGCATCATCTCTGTATACTCCTCAATGGAAGCCACTGAGGACTGAGACGGGGTCTTCTGGTGGGAAATGGAAGGGGATGTGCCTGCCGAGTGAGTTCTCTTTCGGAACCGATTATCCAGATCGGCAGCACTGGCTGCTTCATCCCCAGCCAAGGCTGGACTCGTGCCCAAGCCTGTTCCTGGGGTGTAGCGGTGGCCATTGCCACCCCGAGACAAAATATAGTGACCGTTGGGGGCGGTCAGGGTGGAGGGCCCCTTGCCGCCCATGCAGATATAGTTGCTCAGCTCCTCCTCACCGCGGGCCGGTGGGGTGTGACCCACGGAATCCGGAGTGACACTGCGGAAGGAACTCCGGAAATCGCAGGGACTGGAGCCATACTCATCCGAGGAGACGAAACCGCCATCGCTGGGGGAACCAGACACCGAAGCACTAGACCGCCGTGGGAAGAGACAATCTGAGGTGGAGCCATGGCCACTGGTGCTGCTGGATGACAGACTGACCGGGCTGGTGGCCGAAGGCGAGCAGCGGGAAGCTGGCATGGGGATGGAGCGGCTGTGGTTGAGCGGGGGGTGCAGCCGCGCGCTGCCCCGATGCCGGTGGGCGTGGGTTCTGTTGGTGCTGGGACTCACAGGGCTGCCGTCCACCGAGGCCGGGCGGGACATGGTGCCTTCACCGTCGCTGGAGGCGCGGACACGGAAGGAGCCTGGCTTCCCACCCACCATGCTGGCCGGGGAGGTGGCGGTGATGCTCTCGGTGCGTGATCGGCGGGTCAGCCCTACCTGGCTGGGCGGGAGGTTGTTGAGATGGTGCCGGCGCAGGGGGACGCTGATGGGGTTAGAGCAATTGGACGAGGACTGGCTCTTGCTGCGAGGACGGAACTCATCGCTCATGGCCCGCATGGCCTCCAGGATGGTTTCGTGCATGTTCTGGGCCACCACGGAGTCATCCACCTGCATCCAGAATTCCCCGGGCCCCGTCACGGCAGAACGACCCACCTCGATAAAGAAGAAGTTCTCCGAGTGGCCGCAGCGCCTGATGTTCATCAGCTGCAGCACCACAGCCGCTACCTCCGAGTTCAGCTTCACGAAGCTGATGGTCTTGCTTGTCAGGCAGAGGCGGTAGATACCAATCAGGTTCTTTGTCTGACCCAGGCCCTTGGGCTTCAGGATCACCTGCCAGACCTCTTTGAATGTGGGTCCTGGGGGCCCGTCCCCGTAGCTCAGGTCCTCCCCAGCCTCACCAACTCCCGAGCTGCCGCTGCAGCTGCTCCCGCCGCCTCCCGCCCCGAGGGCCGCAGTTCCATCGTGGTGGCCCTTGGCGCGGTTGTGCAGCTGCAGGAGAGCCTGGTACCAGCTGTCTTGTTCGGCCTCGTTGTCCGCCGCGATGGCAAAGTGCTCGTCCCGGGTGTAGAGAGCCACCAGGTGCTTGTTCTTGGAGTCAGCACGCTTGTTGATGTTGAAGCAGCTCTCAAGGGGGATCGAGCGTTTGGGGGCGCTCGACTTGTGCCGCCACTTCTTCTCGTTCTCGTAGTACTCGAGGCGCGCCGGGCCCCCAGCCTCGCTGGCCGCGCGCAGTACGAAGAAGCGTTTGTGCATGCTCTTGGGTTTGCGCAGGTAGCCCACCTTGCGCACGTCCGAGAAGCCCTCGCTCTCCGGAGGGCTCGCCATGCTGCCGCTGCCACCACCGCCGCTGAGCAGAGGGAGGCGCCGAAAAACAACCGGGTGGGGGGCAAAGGCTCCTCGCTGCAGCCCCACACATGCAAATAGGGCTGGAGGCAGCAGAAACTCCGGACTCCGAAATCCACACCGTCCCCCGCACCGGGGAGGGGCAGCTGGAGGAGGACGCAGCTGCTGCGCCAAAGAGGGAGCTGGACCGGAGTTTTACCGGCGCTTCACGCCCGGGGGAGAGGCAGTGAGTCCGGGGTGAGGGCAGCCCTGATCCTTTGAGAGCCAAGTCTCTTCTCAGCCACTGCCGCTGCCGAGAAAGAGCGAAGATGCGTCTCTCGCCGCTCCGGCAGGAGTCCGGCTCAGGGAGGCGGTGGTCGGGGGTCCCCGCACTGCCCCTCTAGGCGTGCGCGCGCGCGCGCCTTCCCTCCTGAGTTCCCCTCTGGAGTAGAGATTCCCGAGGCAAATTAAATATCCTTGGGTAGGGGGAGGCGGGTTGCCAAGTCCCAACGTTGGGTTCTCCCTCCTCCTTCTTCTCCTCCTCCTCCTCCTCCTCCGCCTCCTCCCACCCCCCAACCGTCCCAGCCGCCACCAGCCGTCCAAATACCAGCTCAATCGCAGAGACCGCGGCGCTGCGGCTGTTGCTGCTGCTGTTGCCGCCGCCCGCGGGCGCGTCCTCTGCAGCCCTCATTCGGGCCCATCTCGGCGGGCAGAGAAAGTGGCTTTTCCATTCGAAACGCTACTGGGCAGCCAGGGCAGCTGAGGACCGGCCGGAGGGACAGGCTCATCCCTGCCCCTCGCTTCAGTCGGCAGGGAAGAAGGGCAGGGGGGACAAGGGCGGCAGGCGAAGGGGGAGGTTTGGGAAGGGTTCGGGGAAGACGCCTGTTCCCTGGGAGGCGCTGCCGCTGTAGTTACTTCTCCCCTCCTCCCTCCTCCTCCTCCTCCTCCGAGAGTTGCCGAGAGCCCCAACCAAAACAAGCTGCGGCGTCTGGCTCTGCGCGCCGGCCCCCTCCGACCGCGCCGCCGTCTCACTCAGAGGAGAAAAACACGTGACGGAGCCTCCACGCTCGGCAGCCGGGCCGCCGCCGCCGCCGCCGCCGCCGGGAGGCTCCCGCCCGGGTCTCTACATTCCGGGCCGAGCCCGCCCCGCGCCCGCCCCTCTCCGCCCCCCAGCCTTGCCGCAGCGGCGCCCGCGCCGAGCCCCCGCGCCGCGCTAGGACAGCGCCCCTGCGCGGCCGCCAGCCCGGGCGCAGCGCCTCCCTCCCCGTGCGCCACCCAGGGCGCCCCGGGCCCTCAGGAATCCCCGCGGCGGGCGCGGGCGGGGGTGTTTGGGTGGCTACCCGAAAGCACGAGGGGAGTCTGGGAAAACGGGAGGGGACGAGCTCGGGAAGACGCAGGAGTGAGGGTGGGGGCGACGGGGGGGCACTGCGGCTGTGGAGCCCCTAGTGGGAGGCCCGGGGGAGGCGGGGGCGTGGGAGCTGGGTTGCCTCTTACCTAGCAGGTAAGATCGACCCGCGCGGGAGGAAGGTTTCTATTCAAGGCTGTTCCTCCCAGGAAATATACAAGCTAGATTTCGGCTTCGGGGCGATAGGCCATGGTGAGGGGATCTGTATTTTTGTAAGGTTTTCCAAAGGACTTCTGGGCCAGCCTTCCACCTTGGAATCCCCGGATTTTCTGCCGTGAGGTACCTGCAAGAAACAGAGGGACGCCCAAGGGCAGTGACTGGGGGCAGTTATGGTCACTGCCAAAGGAGAACAGGGATTCCCCAGGAAGCTGCTGATCAATTAGGGAGAAAATGTAAATATCACCTTTTCTCCTGCTCCCCTGGCCCATCCGATTGAGGGGGATTCACACCTAAGCCTGAGGGCATGGGGAAGGGGAAATGAAAGGTCCCTTATCATATTACGAAGTCTCTCCGTGACTTTAAAAAACTGTTAGGGACTTACAGAGGATTCATAAGGCCAAAACCCTACTGTGCAAATATTGGCTGAAATGTTTGTTTCACACACAGCTTCCACACCCATTGAACCACCCTATAAATGTTTAACCTTGACCACAAGGATAATCGGGAGAAAACAAGGATGGTGCCAGCTCAACAGTACAGGAAAATGGGTACTTCATGAGTGGACTAGGTCCGCAGCCTGGGTATACTTGAAGGTCTTCTTTTAGGGTTACCTTGCGGTACCAGTCTCCCTACAAGCAAACGCTCCCAAGTTTTTTGTTGTTTTAAGCGGACCTATAAACAAACAGTTTGTCCCTGCTTGCTCGCCTGGCACTAAGGATCCACAGAGATGTCACTCGGTTTAATGTTGTCTCATTTTGATGCTTGACTCGTTTGGGGTTGCCGCCCGTTTTCCACGCCGGGACCCTGCTCAGCCTCCGGCTCCCAGGCACTGCAGGATGCTGGTGGGGCAAGCAGCAGTCCAGGCGCTGGGCATGCTCAGTGGCCGGGACCCGCCGGGCCGCAGGGGAGCGCGCCTCGGCCCAATGCGGGCTGAGGGGCGGGGCGAATTTCCCGGGGTGGCCTGCTGATTGGTGGGATGGCCTGTTTTTCAAGCCTTGCACTGCAGAGGGAAGGTGGGGAGAGGGGGTGAGGGGGTGAGGGTACCAAGGTAGGTTACAAAGCATAGTAAAAAAAAAAGAGAAGATGATGATGAAGGAGAAAAAGAACCATAGGTTCCATTCAGAGGCGTGCGATACGTGAATTAGGGGTATCCGGCATCTGCAGAGGGGCTCCTCCCAACCCAAGCCTGGGAACCTCTCGTTTCTCCTCTCCCCTTCCTGTTCCCGGTGGTCGTGCAGCCTCATATAAACCTGGTTAATCTATAATTTGAGCACACATGTTGAATTGAAAGCCCTCCCTTCTTTTTCTCTGACAGCTCAGTGATGTGGGCACACGTGCCCACTACAGCAAGGCTATTAATAGCAGATATTAGGAAATGGAAGCGAGGCGGCACAGTGACCGAAATTCTGGGGGTATAGAGTGCCTTATGGGGGGCGGGGCAGAAGTGCGGAATAGGGACGCCTGAAGTTGGTGGAAAAGTGTAACTGTGTACCTGGTTTTACCCTACACAAGAAAAAAGCGAGATAATAAAATGGTTGTTTACTAGTAACAGTGTAATCCAGATAAGGCCAAAGGGCTTTTTACAGGTTTGACGCTTAGCGCTGGGATGGAGGTAGTGGAGTATTTCACATTTTGTATGACTGCAAATCAAATCCGTAGACATTTGCTTTTCAAATGGCCCCGTCCCTACCTCCGTCCCTCCAGCCCCCCAGAAAAGCTAAATAAAAGTACTGTACCTCTATCTATGGGAGAAAAATACTCCTTTCTGGAAGGAGGGAATGGTTGGAAAATTTATTTACACGTATTTTACAATAATCTTCATAGAAAGGATTTTGATCATAAAAACCTAATTATGCTAAAACGTTTTAAACATATTGCTCTCAGTGTTAAAGCATTTCTGCTTTAAAAAAATTGCAATTTCAGTTACTAAATATTCGATAAAAATTATGAAATAAACCGCACGGTGCACTGAAAAATTATGTTCAGACCAATGAGTTTCCTGTGGAAGACAATCACTGATCATAGGATATTAGTGGCATTTTTTCTACTTGCTGATGTTTTACTATCAATTTAAAGGTGGCTAATATTTGTTATAATTATACTACAATAACTTCAATTGTTTGCTGCATTTTTTACTAATGGGCTGAGATAACTGGAAATGCATTTACATTTGGTTCATGCAATATATAGAATAGAAAGAGACGCGTTTGTGGGATCTCACTGAAGTAATGCTGAACAGGTATGAGTATTATTCTGTCAGCCAAGCTAAATTAGTCTTTTGGTGTATTATAATGAAATACACTGTGTGAAAAATTTACTCCTCACTGAAAATTCACAGAACAGCAAAACAACCTATAACGGAAATATGTTGCTCAATGCTGCCATCTATAGGAGAGTTAGAGACGATTTGTGTAATACGCTAAGGTACATTTTTTTTAAAAAGAGAGTTAAAATAGTGATTGATCACAACATTGCAACAGCTATGTTGATGTCACTAATACAGTTCTCATTCAAGGAGTTAAGAGTTTACATGCTTGGGGCAATACGTCTACAACTAGCTTTAAAATTGAATTATTGGTTTATGTATGATGTATATCCGTAAAGTGCTTGAGCTGGATGGATATAAAACGAAACATTTGAAAATGATAAAGCACATCATGTCTTGTGTCAAAACAATTGTTTTCCTTAAGATGTATGGGTCATAACTGGAGGAGCTATTTAAATACTGGCATCTCTTAGAATTACTTTTGGCGATTTAGAACAGTGCTTGCAGGACAATTGAAATGTGGATTTTCTCACTTTAATGTCTATTTTTATTTTAGGATGGCTCAATAGTAATAGGCATTTGAATGCCTACTCTGGAAGGCAATATGAAATATATAAAAAGGGACAGCTTCTTACAGCTTTGATGGAGTAATAAGAGAGTACAAAATAACAATAATTAATGACTAAAATGTGTATCTGTGTGTGTGAGAGAGAGAGACAGAGACAGAGAGAGGGGGAGAGACATCAAATAACAAATAAGTGGTATTTACTTCCATGATGGATGAAATAATGAAATAAATATTTACAGAAGAGAGGAGCTTTAAGCTTGAACTTAAAGTGGGCTATAACTCAGATAAATGATTGGTAGGTTTTTTCCCACACAAGTTTTTTGAAAAACCTACTTGTGTTAGGCATTAGGCTGGACACTGAGAGTTTAGATATCAAAGACATGCTGCCCACAGGAAGCTCACATTGAAAATAGCAGACAAATGAACACAATTACAGAGCACTATGATCTCATTTGTGGAAAAAATAGGCACAGGGCAAATGAGATCACATAACAACAAATTGCCTTCTGACGTAAACATTATCATTTACAGACAGCACAATTTGGGAGTCTGAATGTTGCCTCTTCCCTTAAAAACATTGTTTTCTCATGTAATTAAAATATTTCATCTATTTTAAAAATATAAAATAGGCTAATTAAAAGTGAGCTGGAAAGTAACACTTGCCTTGCAAATCTGCTAAATCAGGGCTTCTCAAAGCCGAGGATCTTGTTAAAATTCACATTCTTGTTAAATGCAGAAGGTCGAGGGCAGGCTGAGATATTGCATTTTTAACACACACTAGGTGATGCTGATTCTGCTGGGTAAGTAGCAGAGTTCTAATAACTGATGATTAATTAAAAGGCACAATAATTTTGTGCTGTGATATGAAAGCGGGGCACTTATATTTTAGTATTATATACATACAAAGAGAACAATAGCAAGAAAAATTCTACTTAGGCATCATTGTGTTTGAGTTTCTCTCTTTTCAATCACAGGCATCAAATCTTTCTGATAAGCATGAAGAGTTATTCTCAAGCAGTTGTGTTAGTTTTTTCCAAGGTGTGATTAAAAATGGAGATTTCTTACCTCATCCCAGTCCTACTGAACCAAAATCTCTTAGAGAAGAATGGGCACCCTCACATTTACAGTTTAAGCAGCATTACAATAGATTATTATTTACATTAATATTTAAGAATCATTGGCTTAAACACAAAGAAAAAATGTAATTATATACTTCTGGAATTGGCAAATGCACAGCCTTAACCAGTCAACAAAGATCTTCACCTGTGGGCTATTTACTACAGCTGAGTAGTAAACCAGCTGTGACCCAAACCTGCATGAGTCTCCCAATATGAATTGATTTTCCTTTGAAGAAAATCAATTACTGGCAATCAGCTAGTGAGAATCCAGTTCTGCTCTCATCCTGATTTCATCCCTCATCTATTCTAGAGAACTGAGGGAAAATAAAGGCACCAAGAACTAACATGGGATTTCAGAAAGACAATAATGCCCTCAACAGATGATTTCAAAACATTTGCTGTTTTGGGAGTAAATAAAGCATGAAATAAACAGATGGATGAGGTTGGAGGAAATGCAGGAGGTGAAAACTCCATGCCATTGTTTAATTCTTTCACTTGAGAAATTCTACCGATTGATTGTTGATTTTGGGGGGTTAAATCCATAACTGATATTTGTTTAAAAGACTGGGTCCTGGTCCAGGCATGGTAACTCACGCTTCTAATCCCAGCAATTTGGGAGGCAGAGGCGGAAAGATCCTCGAGCCCAGGAACTCAAGGTTGCAGTGAGCTATGATCATGCCACTGCACTCTAGTCTGGGTGACAGAGTGACACTTTGCTTCTAAAAATAAACAAAGACAGACTAGCTTTTTCTTTTTTAATTTTCTTGATTTCCTTAACTATTATATTCTCATTTTATTTTACAGTCTTGTTTGATAAGAATCAGGGGTCTGACAGTCAATTCGCTATCTTAGACAATGCCACTAACTCGTTTGGTCATTTAATTGAGAGAAAGAACCCTGAATTGTTTCTTTTTTTCTTCTTCTTTGAGACAGAGTCTCACTATATCATGCCAGCTGGAGTGCAGTGGTGTGATCTCAGGTCAATGCAACCTCCACCTCCCAGGTTCAAGTGATTCTCCTGCCTCAGCCTCCCTAGTAGCTGGAATTACAGGCACGCACCACCACACCCAGCTAATTTTTGTATTTTTAGAGATGGGGTTTCACTGTGTTGACCAGGCTGGTCTTAAACTCCTGACCTCAGGTGACCCACTTGCCTCAGCCTCTTAAAGTGC